TAACTAGGTAACTAGTTAATTTTAAAAGCGCATCTACTTTATACAAGAGAAAAACTAAACACTTAGGAGCCTACGTTGCTGTTAGGCTACTAACTTCGCAAGTTTTTATCCTAATGTAGGCTCTAGGGTGTTTAGCTTTTCTCTTAGATAGGGTGCAACTAAGTTAAAGCCGCCTTCTAACACGTAACCTGTGTTGCGACTAGGCGTAACTTTTAAAGCCGGTAAAGCCGTGGCAGGATCTAGGCGGACGGCACCACTAGAAGGTCTAGTAACGATAAACCGGGCGGCTTCACGTGGACTGATGAGCTGAGTGAGACCACACTAACCGGTACCAGGGAGCACCAATGATGAACAATCCTCCGCCGCCCCCATTTTGCTTACGAGGCGTGGGTCTTGGCAGGGCGGACAAACACCAGTACAAATATATGTATAGATGGCTGCTATGAGATCTTTCAGAACGCTCATACAATCCGTGGAGTTCATCATCATGTTCGGCTTCTTCTCTACAAAGTACAAGCATCGCAAACGCCATCCGGTAGATGACGATATCACAGCATCGGAACTACAACACCTTACCCACATGCAGATGCCGCACTCCGAACCTTTGAACAAGTCCAGAATTACATTCACCAAAGGTTGGAGATTCGGCGCCCTCAACTGCGCGATCGCAGCCTCCATAGTCTTTCTCACAAACCTGATCGCCACTATAGCATGGGCCACCAATACTGATAGCGGTGAACTATTCAGAGGGGACTGTGATCGTGCGCGCAAGATCAACGCAGTACTTCATGTCATCATCAACTTGTTGAGTACAATACTGTTGTCTTCATCGAATTACGTTATGCAGTGTCTATCCGCTCCAACCAGAACGGAGATCGACGTCGCCCATTCTCGAGGACAGTGGATGGACATAGGTGTCCTAAGCGTTCGAAATCTACGTCGCATTAGCAAGAAGCGCGTACTTCTTTGGTCAGCTCTAGCGCTCTCATCACTACCTCTACATCTCTTGTAAGTAATAGATGGATGCAAAACCCTATTTTAGACTAATATAAGCAGTTATAACTCGGTCGTGTATCTGTCTCTTGCAGCGTACAGCTACGAAGTTTACGGCGTTAGACAAAACTTCGTCGACAGCCCAGAATGCCTAGGATGTACGAATCCCATCAAAGGTGCCGACTTTGCTTTCACCCGGGAGATACACCAAAAGATCCAAGAAGACCGCTTCCAAAGGCTTGACAACATTGATTGTATCGATGCGTATGCAACAACCTTGCAAACGCATAGAGGCGATCTACTTGTTGTAGCCAAGTCTGATGACATTGTGTGGGGAAACCAAATCGATAATTATAGGACAGACGATGACTACCTAAATAACGAAAACTCGGCGGTTTTCTGGACATACTCGCTCACGAGTGGTTGGGAGTATGTCCCACAGGATACTTTCCAGTGGATTTGTTCGAACCATCCGGATGCGGACCCGAGTTCACGAAACCCAAAGTCCTGCGACGCGGTAGTAGATGAGATCAGGAATTCAGCACAGAACTGGACCATATCAAGCATGACCGAACATAGCCCGAGTGCGTTTGGATTTCACTACATGAGAGGCCCCATACAGTACTGTTTGCGAGAAAGGAAGGAGTCAGAGTGTCGAGTTCTGTGGAGCATTCCTATCGCATCCTTGGTGACAGCGCTGAATTTCATCAAGGCCATATTGATTTTCCATGCTGCTCTTCGCATCCGGGAGCAGCCACTCATGACAATGGGTGACGCTGTGGTCTCTTTCCTGAAACAGCCGGACCCATGGACTCGGAATATGTGCCTCGCTTCTTCCAAGAACATCGAAAGTGCGAGAGACAATTTCATTGCTGGACCGAAAAGATGGACACGTCGTACGTATAGATGGAAGGATGCTACAAGCCTAACCCGTCGTATTAGCACTTTCACTGTGTAAGTGCGCACGCGTCATTCTGGCATCACAAAGATTCGCTAACATCCCCCAGGCTTCTGATCTCGATAGCAACCATAGGAGGATTTCTTTCCTACGGATTACGTTATCTCCGGTCTGGTAAAAGTCACTCCCTTAGCAATCTCGCTGCGTTGGGTTTTGGTGCCATCGACGCTCGGACACTAATCGAGTATCCACGTGAACACAATGTCGACTCCATAATAGGCAACACTCTCATAGCCAACGTGCCACAGGTTGTGCTTTCGATCATCTATTTCTCATGCAACAGTCTGTTGACGTGTATGCTGCTAGGAAAAGAATGGTCATCGTATTCATACGTTCGAAAGGGTTTAAGGGTTTCGAGCGCCCCGAGAGGGTTGCAAAGATCAACCTACTTCTTGTCGCTACCTTATCGGTTTGCAATACCACTTATGGCAATCAGTGGATTGCTACATTGGATGATATCACAAAGCATCTTCTTTGCCGCCATAGAGGTAGGCTCTTTACCTGGACATGTTCTGAACTTAGTGTGATAGCTGACGATGACATTAGTTCTATGGGATCGGTGATAGTGTGCCATCAGATGTACGATATACATGCGGCTATTCTCCCATCGCCATGATATCTGTGATCATCGTTGCGAGTCTCGTTCTCATTGTCGGCGTCGGAGTGGGATTCGTTCCTTTGCGACCAGGAACCAATCTGGTTGGCAGTTGTAGTGCAGCCATGAGCGCAGCTTGTCACTTGTCAACCGCTGACAAGGAAAGAGGTGATGAAATTGCCGTTAAGAAGTTAATGTGGGGTGTTGTTGAAGTACAATCAAATGGAGCGGGGCATTGCTCCTTCTCCGACGAGGCCGTGGAAAACCCCAAAGAAGGTGAGCTATATGCTGGGCCGCGTGCGCAGGCTTATCCACAGCGACCGAAAAGATGAAATAGATGGTTATATAGAGGATAGTTGAGCGAGTTTGGGTAGTCGCTGGAAAGGTGTCTTCGTAGCAAAGCGATGGTGCCGTCGCGCGTGGACTTTTATTCGGATGCCGGACGGAGGGATGACCTAAGCGTGCCATAATCAGCATTATCTCCACCTTTCGGAAGCGGGTCCGGCTACCAACCACCCTGCTTCGGCTCATGACTAGCACACTCACGCGACGCACTAAATGATGATTTGCAACGTCATTGAAGCCACAGCAAAGAAAGCGTCCACATGGTGCGGATCAGCGTTGGATGCGGGGTCCGGACTGACCTCGGTGTACAATGCCCCATATATCAAGCTTCTCCAAAGTGACTTTGGGGTCTTGTAGAGTAACATCTTATAACCTACGATAGCAAAAGTATTGATACAGTGACTATGGCGAAACAAGAGTACAAATTCCCGGCGTTTGACGACCTTCCGAAGGTCGAGGGCATGCCACAGGGCAGCATATGGGGGTTCTTTGACAAAGACGGGCAAAAGGATGAAGTCGGAAGTAAAGCAAATTGTACCCCATACAGCAATCGTATATCTAACAGGCGACAGCTATCAAACTTCTCACCTCGGATGTCGTGAAAGCGGCCTCCAAAGAGATCACTACCGGCGAGCACATCCAGCTTGACTGGGAACTACACAACGTGCAATTTCCAGGGTTCAACAGAAAAGAACTCGAGCAAAAGCAAATCGATTTTGCGGACTTCTCCGAGTTCTGTGCTAACGATGACGAACTTCACATCAACACTCAAGCTGGATCTCAGTGGGATAGCTTGAAGCATTTCGCGCATCAAGCAAGCGGCATGTATTACAACGGTCTCTCGCATAAAGAGGCAGCGAACAGCGTCACGAACGGAACGCACAAGTGGTGCGAAAGAGGTGGCATTGTTGGAAGAGGTGTGCTTTGCGACTGGCTTAGTTGGTATGAAGAGAAGAACGGGAAGAAAGCACCAAGTGCGGTGTCGAGACACGAGATCCCTATCGAGGAGATTGAAGAGACGCTGAAGTGGCAAGGCACCACTTTGAAGCAGGGAGACATCATGATGATTCGTAGCGGATATGTAAGATGGCACAAGTACGTTGTCTTACCACTTCGAGAGCCGTGACTGACGATGCTAGCAATGCGAACGAAGCGGAGCGCAAGAGCGGTACACGCGATAACAGTGTCGCGATAGGTCTTCAAGCCAACGAGAAGACAGTGCGTTGGCTTTACGACCGTCACCTCGCGGCAATCGCTGGTGATACCGTCGCTTTTGAAGCATGGCCACCAAAGTTTACCGACGGATGGTGCCTACACGAGTGGCTTCTCGTTCATTGGGGTACCGCTATCGGCGAGATGTGGGATCTTGAAAAGCTCAGTCAGAGGTGCAAGGAGATGGGCCGGTACACTTTCTTCATGACAAGTGCTCCGTTACACGTCAGGGGTGGTATTGGAAGTCCACCTGGAGTTATCGCCATCTTCTAGGCGCATTCGGTCACCGTTGCTTTTGGAAATGTATCAACGTTGTTTCTGTGTATACGATAGTACCATTTCGGAGAAACCCTGGTATTAAGAACGTGCGCAGGCTAGCATCAGATTCCGCGAAGATATCGCGGTCAACTCCGTTTTCGTGATTAGCCTTATGTTGACATATTGCCCGAATTCCATTAACCATGTTGGCCATTGAGTCTGAACATGCTCGGGAAGAGAAACTGAGTTGCTTTAACATTCAGAATTACTATTACCAGAATGGAGCGGATGGAATGGGTGTGGTAGAGTGTTCGCGTGTCGCGAGGCGTATCGGCGCGTATTCTCTTTCGTTACGCGACCCACAGACCAGCACGAAACAACCAAGCATAGTGTCAAAAGATGCCGCGCGGCGCTGCGCCTCTTGTAGTAATGCTTGAGAGAGATAAGAGAACGAAAGAGTTGAATGCGAAAAACGTACCGAGTCAGGATGTGTATATAGTAACGGCGCGCAGTCGTGTCTGCAAAGGTATCTTCGTTCGCTCCCTCATCTTCTGCATCTCCGTACACATTCTGTCTTTAATCTTTCGTTTCTTGCTTACCCAACGATTTACTTGGCTGTTATCGGCCCAGAATCCGCAGATGGCGTCACACGACATCGTTCCTAGAGGCGAAGCCGACTTCGATCTTTACCCTTACACGCCCTCAGCAGGCGCCGGCTACACGTTTCTCATACTATTCGCGATCGGCGGCCTGACGCATTTCATCATGCTCATTCCATTACGAAGTTGGTTCTTCATTCCATTCGTTCTGGGCTGCGTAGGTCAGTTACCTGGGTGCTGGACCCCATCGCCGAAAAGCACACCGCTGATAATGTGATCCACAGGCGAAGCAGCCGGATACTACGGTCGCGCCTGGTCCTCGAAGAATATCCGACAAGGCAGTCCTTATCTCCTTCAACTCATGCTTATCCTCGCGGCCGCACCACTTCTCGCAGCCACCATCTACATGACGCTTGGTCGCCTTATCCGCTCTCTCGATGCTACGCATCACGCCGTGATGAACCCGCGCTGGACGACGAAGATATACGTCATCATCGACATCGGATCCTTCGTATGTCAGATCATGGGGTCTGCGATGCAAGCTTCCGGTGACCCAGACGGAGTGAAGACTGGAACCACTGTCGTCATCGCAGGACTGGGTACGCAATTGGTCGCTTTCGCCTTCTTCATCCTAATGGCGGTGGTGTTTCATCGAAGGTTAAACAACGAACCTACCAGCACGTCAAGGCGGACACATGTCAAGTGGCGCCGCTACATGTGGGCTTTGTACAGTGTCAGTGTGCTTGTCGTTGTTCGGAGCATTTTCCGGCTGGCGGAGTTCATCGAAGGGCCAGAGAGTAAGGTGTATCAGACAGAGGCGTACTTGTATGTCTTCGATGCGGCGCTCATGTTCGCGGTGGTGGTTATCATGGCGGTCTTTCATCCGGGGTTTCTGTTCAGGGTCGTCAGAAAAGCTGACTTGATGCCACTTAGTGATGACGAGGGGAATGGCAGCTATTTACTGCGCGGAGATGGTCCAAGGTAGTTTCTCCGGGTGGATGGACAGATGTACAGTATCTAAAAGGTGGTAGCGGAGACAGGAGAATGCCACTCTCTTTGGCCGTTTCGTATATCGTGATACTGAATGCAGATTTGGGATCAATGACATCAATGTTGTGGTCATCTTGGCGAAGAGAAATTGGAGTGAATTATCGGTCGCAAAGGTTGCGACAGCAATGAAGGGTCAAATACTGCCCCAACTCCATCACGAGCTTCTTAGCTCACCTTGGCGGTAACGCAGAGTTCCGAGGGTATATAAATATAGGGTTGACCGTACCCAGACTCTCACTACCCCGCGCACAATATCTACTCCACGATGTCGATATACATGATGTCGGGCTCACATAGTTCCTACACGCCACCATATCCTCATCAGTACTATTCCTCCCTGCCTCCGCGGCCCCAGGATGCCGCCTTCAATAGCCCAGTGCAAAGTTCCGTCAAGGCCTTCAACGTCCCAGTCTCTGACCATACCCTCGAGTACCGAATTCTAGAGCTGCTACAACCTTTTCGGAACACCAGCAGTCTCTTGAACGCCACTAATGAAGCCAAGAACGTTTTATTGCTGGCTCGTAAGTACAACTGTCTTTGAGTCTTTTCGGAGCGATCTTTCCTCTAGGGTATTGCTGTCAATACTTGAAGTCGATTGTGTTGCACGCGCAATCCCGCCACTGGCTATTTCTTCCACCCATGTAAGTAACAAAGCTAAGAGATCTGTCAGAAAACATCGCCTCCATTATTGTCAGCAAACAGTCCAAGGATCTCTCCAAGGCGGGAACAACCGATGTGTATATCATGAGTCGCAACTTGAACACCACCGCAGTCAACGGTACCGCAGCCAGCGGTCCGGCGTATCTCCGCATCTTCTTCCATATCGACTACCAATCGATTACAGTTGTTAGAGCGAAGATCGAGAACGGGAAGAACGCGATCGGTGCGCTTATCGACGAGGTGGACAAGATAATCGAGAGCCTCATGGAAGATTCATAGTGGTTGTTTGAGGTATGCATGTCGACGAGTGGTCGAGAAGAGAAGGAGACGAATTTTGGCGCCCGAGTCCATGGGTGACTGCTACATCGCTGGATAGCTCCTAGTCAACTTCAGGGCTTTGTAGAAGCTACTACATTGTGTAGATAATGGCCGGTCGGCGTCTGCAGCAATCAAAGTACTCCCCTCTTCTGTCCACGGTCGCCTCGCCTTCTTCTGGGCTGTAACCCAGGTATGACCCGCCTGCTTGACACTTCCGACATACTTTTACGACAGCATGTTCGCATCAAGTACACGCTGAGAACCCTAACGACACAAACCTTCCCGAGCTTAAGCAATGCGGCCATGCAAGGCATAAACTTTAGGGGCAAGTTCTTTGACGTTGAGACGACACTACGACGCTAGTAGGGATAGCCGGTGCGGCTATGGTGTGGTCGGACACATCGTTGACTTCTGAACTAACCCTCCGATGGTTCGTGCATTTGACAACTTTGTACATGATTAATCGGAACGTTCCGAGTACAGGGACAGGAGCAAGATGGTATCTCAAATTTTTAATAACAGCGTTTTGTAGGTTGAGGCACAAGTAGCGCCTGACAGGCTTAGTGGATCGGCTGATCTACGCCCTAGCACGCAGGCACGTCGACCAGTTCTGTACAAGATCGGTCAGGGCGGGCAGATCTGAAGGGAGAGCGCTTCCAGGATTGGCCTTGTCTGGAATTTCCCGGTTTCCGCACTTCACGTGCTGGGGTCGGAGCCGTTTGATGCGTGTGTGGCGCGCACGAACTTGGGAACGTGAGGGCGACGCGCCAGCAGGACCCATTGAAGTAGATGGGCGGCGAATGAGCAGGCGCCCCACGAGATTGCATCGTGAACTCGAAGATGGACGTCGTCATCGTGCGAGCGGTGTGGCCGGCGGTACTCGCGCTAGCCGTCTAGCGTGTCGCCAAGAAAAGCTTGGTATCCCAGGTGTGGCGCAACGAACTAGACAGAGCGACAGGAAAGGAGAGCATCACGGACTCCGCGAGGGGGTGAGAAGGCGTGTGCAAGCAGGAAGTCCGCAAGAAACGGGGTTGTCTGATACATGCAGGGAAGAGTTTGCTAGGCTGGGCGGCGCCACACTTCGCATCAGACGGAATCGAGATTGCTGTGGCGCTGTCGAATTACCCATGACGCAAGCGGGACACATGTTTTGGCATCCTTTGGGAAACCTGGCGCCGATCGAACCCCCAAACATACCTAGAGGCTCCGTCATACAGGCCAGGGCGACCTCGTTTGGGCGTGGCAGGCCTCGTGCCCCAGGCAAAACGTGGACAGTTGTGGCATTGGACGGCACATCGTCAGGGAACTGGGCCGCCGCGCTCTGTGAGCGTGTCCGCGGAATTCGATCGCTGGCAGCGGGAAAATGGTGGCCGGTAGTCGCGGGGTCAGGCAAGTTGGTCGTGGTCGGTCGCTGTTCCAAGTCCAGGCTCTTCGCAAGCGGCAAGCTACGACGCAGTGACGTAGTTGCTGCAATCGCGCGTGTTACCCAGCCAGCCCAAATACAAAGCTGCTTTCTGCCCTCACCCGCCTCCCTCCCACACAAACCACTTTGATACCCATCCCCTCGAAATACCCATCCACCCTACCTCCATTGTTTTCAGCTCTGCGTCTGCATTTTGATACCCCACCTTGATACCCACAGAAGCAGTCCTACACCATGAGTTCCGTAAATCGTATGTCTAGCTACCCCGCTTTGCCCCCAAACATTGCTAACAGACTGCAGGTCCGGTGGACTTGAAGCAGAAGGAGAAGGACGTCAACAACAAGCTACAGCTGTACGGCATCTTCGAGGGTATGTGAACACGTGCAATGGCGCGTCGATGCCCTTCGCGTCGCACACGCAAATGTAAACAAGCGCTGACCACAACTAGCCTTCTCTAACGGAAAGGTCCCCTCCAACCAGCAAATCGATGTCGCGCTCAACTCCGCGCTGGCCCACAGGTCGCTCAACTCACCATCCAAGAAGCTGTCGAGCGAGGGTCAGCATCTGGTGACCGACCTCAAGAAGGTCATCGAGCAGGCCAAGATCCTACTACTCACCAAGAACGAGGGCAACCTCCTCCAGGACTTCATCTGGCAGGCAGAGCACCTCGGTGGCAACAGCGCCGCCCTCCCCAATGCCCCTGTTGATAAGGACACAGCGAAGCAGCACGGAAACGAGGCGCTTGATGGTCTACGGACTCTCGGTACCCTCCTCATTTCCAACGGCCAGTTCAGGAAGTTGCTTTCAGATGCCACTGTTCTGCTCCGTGACATGGCTGGCGATGCCGCCCAGAACACCGCCAACAAGGTCAAGCCCTCAGAAGACCGTCTCAACAAGCTAGATGAGCCTGCTGAGGACAACACTTGGCACGACACCTCCGACCTGAACCGCGAGAACCTTCGCAATCAAGCTAAGAGCAGTCTGCCTTTCGGCAACAAGAACAAGGACGAGGCCAAGGGTGACTTGAAGGAGCATGCCAAAGACATCAACCAGGCTGCTAACCCTGATGGCTCGCGCGACCCTCAGCACACCGCCCAACTTGGCGCCCACGAGGGTCAGACCGGCCAGAGCACTGGCGTCGACGCCCGTGGTGCTCTCGACGCTGCCAAGCAGAAGGTTGACGCGAACACTTCTGAGGAGGATAAGAACATGGCCCGCGCCCGCCGCGACCAGATGAACAACTACCTCAAGGGCAAGATGCCTGAGGAGCGCCGCGAGCAGACCATCTGGCGTCTTAAGAAGATGGTAGTCGAGATTCAGGGCCACCAGGACTACCAGCGTGCCATCGAGACCCTACTCAACCTCGCCGAGCAGTACTCCGGCCATGGTAAGAACCTTGGCCAGCAGGGCAAGGGTTCTGTTCAAGGTGCGCATCAGAACGATGCCCTAACTACTGCTGAAGCTGATCTCAAGGTGCGCATTTAGGCTTCCTCTCGGAGAACAAATGGCTGACCAACATGAAGACTCTTCTTGAGCGTTTTGCAAACAACACCTCGTTCGATGACTTGATTGAGTCCATCAACCAGGTCTACAAGGACGCCGACCAGGATCCAGAGCTCAGGAACTGGTTCACTCGCATCAACCAGTTCATCCGCAAGACTCTCCAACAGCAGGGCTTCATCCTCGAAGACCGTAGCAACGAGGAGTGGAACCAGATCTACGATGATGGTCACCGCCTCCTTCGTGGCCGCTACCGTGGACACACTGACCGCATCGCTGACGAGTTCAAGTTTGTTGGCGAGCAGTTCGACGCTGACCCGCAGAACAAGCAGTTCGCTGAGTCTGTCAACAAGCTCTTCCTTGACCTCGGTCAAGATGAGAACGGCCAGACTGTGTTCAAGCCCCACCTTCTCAAGGACCTGAGCGACGTCATCCTCCCGTCCATCTTCGAGAACGTCCGTTACGTCCCGATCCCGCGTATCGAATACAGCGACCCCATGGTCGACGCCGTCGTTGAGAACCTCGTCATCGAGGGTGATAACCTTGCTCCCAACTCTTTGGAGTTTGGCTCGGACAACTACTGGCGCTGGGGACGCAAGTCCATCTCGAGCAAGAACAAGAACAAGGTCATGCTCTCTGTCTCGGGTGTACAGATGGATCTCAGGGATGTTTCCTACTACATCAAGCGCAAGCAAGGCTTCCCATCCATCACCGACAAGGGTGTTATGGACATCTTCATGGGTGGCTCCGGCTTCAGCTTCAAGGTTGAGATGGAGACAGCTGACAAGGCCCGCGAGAACAACGCGCAGACCCACTTCTTCAAGGTCACCAAGGTTGAGTCTGACATTAAAAACCTTCAGATCAAGATGAAGAAGAGCAACCACAAGCTCCTCTTCAACATGTTCAAGCCCCTTCTTCTCAAGGTCATGCGTCCTGTCATCCAGAAGGTCTTGGAGAAGCAGATCAAGGACTCCGCCAACCAGCTTGACGGCCTTCTCTTCGACATCAAGACTGAGGCTGACCGCGCCGAGGCTGAGGCCAAGCGCAACCCCGACCCTCAGAACATTCAGAACATGTACCAGCGCTACGCCTCTGCTATGCAGCACCGCATCATGCAAGGCAAGCAGAAGAAGGAGCAGGTCAAGGAGAAGACCAAGGACACCCAGGTCAACATGGCTGTTACTCAGCACGACTCCATCTTCAAGAACATCTCCCTACCCGGCGGTATCTCTTCCAAGGCTACTGAGTACAAGGAGCTTGCCGGCAAGGGCGAGAAGTGGGAGAGCCCCATCTTCTCTATCGGCTCCGCCAAGGAGACTTCCAGCCTGCCTCAGGTTGGCAAGGTCACTCGCAAGCCCCACGGTCGCGCAGGCGGCTACGGTAGCACCAGTGAGGAGTCTCGCGGTCTTGGAGCCTCGCAGGGCATCAACCCATCCGCCAACCAGTACGACAGCCAATACACTAACGCCGGTGGCCTCGGTGGTGGTCAAGGCGTTACCACTGGTCAGGGTCTGATGGGTGGTGCTGCTGCTACTGGTCTCGCCGGCGGCGTTCCTTCCACCACTGGCACCCAAGGCTTCGGCACTCAGGTTGACGATGCTTTCAACACCACCGGCACCGCCGCACCTGTTGGATCGTCTGGCCTCGGCTCCACTGGCCTTGGTTCAACTGGTCTGAACGACCCTACTGCCACCACTACTTCAGCAACTCATCCCGCTCACCCCACTGGTGCCCCGGCTCCCGGCGAGTATAACACTACCTTCGGTGACCAGAACCCCGTCTTCCAGGGTCGCGTTTAGATGTTTGTTGGTTGACCAGTGATACCCGATATGCTTGGGGCTGCGAGTCATGATTACGACTTTCCTACCTTTTGATCATGGATGATACCACGATTGCGCCACGGCGCACGCGCACATGAGTAGCAAATAGCATGTTTTCTTGGTTCTTCTTTCTTGCTTTCGGCGGTTTATGAGTAGTGTAGGACGATTGCGCCCGTAATGGGGAGATGGTTGCCGGGGCGGACCTGAAGCTGTCAAAAGCTTTTGGTCAACGAAAATTCCTAGTTTGTCGCTATTGCCGTGTTCCCGTAGTAATAGTTAATTAAATGGTGTTTAAAACTAGTTCGTCTTTCTTCTAGTGAGAATTGTAAATACTCAATCGTGGGTTTCTACGGACCTCGCTCGGGTCGCATACTGCGGATTGGACTGTCACGTCACGGTCATATCAAAGCACTTATGGAATAGATGATTTTCCTCACCCAAGCACAATATGACTCTTTTCGTTTGAGAAAACATCAACATTGGGTTTTAGGCCAAAACGAGATTTGAATTGCCGCAAGTTCTTTACCTAATTTCTACCTATGCCTATGCCGTTTCAGATATTTCCCTTCCCTCTCAGCCTCCTCTCTCAGCCTCTCCATCTCTTCTTCAAGCCCCGCATGGTCCTCCCCTCTTCCCCTTCGTGGGCGGCCTGAAACGTTGTCTGCGCCGTATGTAAAAGAGTCCCCAGATGGGATGCGGTGTCTGACACTTTCTACAGGTTCATCTGCATAGTGGACGCGACGCACAGGTGCTCTTTCGTAGAACCGGTCGCGACTCCGGCTTCGACTTCGGCTACGGCTCCAACTACCGCTCCGTGACCTGCCATGTCGTACATATCTAGATCCTACTTCAACACGGCCACCGCGTTCAAACCATTCATCGTCGTCATCGTCGTCATCGCCGTCGCCGTCGTCGTCATAGTACCTCGAGCGTGAGCGGGTAGTTGTGTCTTTTGTTGACATACGTCGTGGTGGTGGGTAAGGTGGAAGATGAGACATGGGATGACCGTAGATGTTAAGTCTGCTTCGAAGATCACCATCTGCATACGGATCGACATGACTGGTCGGACTGAATGGGTTGAACAGGTCGTTCGAATTGGCGTAGTGACCCTTCATTATGTGGTGTGGACGAGGGCGGACTGGCGCAGCTTCCTTGTAAGGCATGTATGGTGAACGTTTGTAGTCCATACGTGACGATCTTCTGTCGGGTACATGTGGGTATGGGTATAGTGATTGCCGGCGTGCTTCGATTGCTAGGGGTGCCGGACTGGCGTATGAGTGTTGTCCCTTCGCTGGAACACCAGACGAATATGGTTGAGAAAGATATGGGGACTTGCTCATAGGGTGGTCTGGCACATACCACTCGTCAAAATCATCATCGCCATAACTCGCTCTGTATAGGTCACGCCGTCGGCTAGGAAATACTTCGTAAGCTGCGCCAAACGGGTCAATGATACTGTCTAAACCGCCCTTGGATTTGGACGGCCCTTGGCGTTGCGCAACGGTTATACTAGCGGCTTCCACTGTGTCTCTCTCTTTTCTCATCGTTTTGCGATACATGGACGAGAGTAGGTCCCGTATGCTATCGCCATTATAACCGATCAGTAAGCAAGAGCCTACAGTGACGCAGGTTAGTGGTATGGCAACACTCCAGAAGACAGCTTGTGTTTCGTCCATGTCTCTGATGTCAGAGGCATTCATACCGAAGTAGCTTGTAACGAATGACAATGGCAAAAAGATGACTGTAACGACCGTGAAGACCATGATAGCCTTTCCATGATCTTCTTCGTTGATCTCCAAGATCTGTTTCGTGCGATCGGAGAGCGGGGCGCAACGTCGCATTAGATCAACGTAATCTAGCCGAACTAGGGAAAGGTGTTCTAGGCAGGCCCTTCCCAGAGCTTCCTCGTAAAGATACATAGCCCGACGAGATGGGCTTAGCTTCTCATATGTGCTGTCATCGATGACCTCCAGATAATTTCGTACCAGATTGGTTTGCCAGGTGTTTACTAGCTGTAAGACTTGCAACTCTTCTTGAATCAAATTGATGGCGCGCAGAAGGCGCTTGCTTGGTCTGTGGTTGATTTCGAATTGCTAGCACATGTTAGTAAAGTCTAAGAATACATCACCTCGTATTCTCGCTGCTGTCGAAGCGTGTATAGCTCCCCACTTCTCTCGGAGATGTAGTGTGGACATTGAATGTACTTACAACCTTGGAGACGTACACATGATACATGTCGCCGATAGTCTTGGACTGCTCGAGAGGCTTCATCAGCAACCTTCTCATAAACCATAGAGACACATATTCTGGTCCCAGGGAAAGATGCTTGCGAAGGTTCAATGGTAACTCGGGTCTACCCATGTCGCAGAACAGAAACCGAGCTTTGCGCAGGGATCGTCGCGCCTGGAAACCAAAGCGTCTGAGTACTTCGACATCTCTCGATGAGTATGGATCGTTTGTAAGCTTGCGAGAGTCCTGAAACCGAGGGTCGAGTCCATACGTCTTTTCGTTCTCGTGCAAAGCTCGCTCGATCGCCAGGTAGTAAATCACAATCTTTTGAAATGCGTGAATCAATTCTTGCGGCAACGTATACAATGACGATAACTGTCCATCCTCATTCTGAACACCCTCGGCAAGCTCTTTGGCTCGAACTAGAAAGTCTTTGGCAATCTCACTAGCATGTGTAAGAATCACCAAAGCGCTCGCATTCGTCAGTTCGCGCCGGTATTGTACGGAATTGATTATCCAGTCTTGCAGTTGTTCGAAACTCGGTATCTCAGCGTCAGGATGTGCAGTCCCAGCCGAATATTTCTCCACATGTCGCACAAGATGTTTCATTGCAGATGTTGCGCTACTAAATGGGCGTCTGCATCTTATACAACGCTGAATCGACCTTTGCAGTGTTTTCCTGGATTCTGGGAGTGAAGATGGAACTTCCCAAGCGGAGGTGCGGATGGACCAGATACGGTTGTTCAGCATGTCAGGGTGTTTCCAATCAGAGTTCGTGTATTCCTCTGGGTCGGGCTCAACCGCTCCACGTTGCGCAATGGTCGTTACTTGCTGATGGATGTTTTGCAGTGCGCCTGATAGCTTTCGAAGCATGCTGCTACTATCTAGGTCATCTACGAAAAGACCTAAAGTTTTGCAGACAGTGTCGAGAAACTCGACTGATCTTGTCAAAATCTTACGGCAATGAGTGGTGACAATCATCTTGTGGTTTATGGAACCCGACTCTGGTAGAGGCGTTGCTTTGACAAGCTCCTGTAATTCGGACCGTCGCGTGGAAACGCCTTCACATACCGTCTCAGGCAAGGAGTGGTAGTAGTTGGTTGAGGTGAAAGCATCTTCTACAGGACTGGTTGAACGAACAAGAGACCTCGACGTCATGAGCTTCTCCACGTAGTCCAGGCAGGCGATGGACCGGTCTTTCCCCGTGGTACCGAGTACTACCGGCTTCCCACTTCTATGAGAGAGATCGTTGGTCTTAGACTGCAACCAGTGAAAGAAGGGCGGAACACACGTTGGGGGGCCGACAGCCGCTGGTTCTGCGGTCGAAGCTTCTTCATCTCTTCCGTCACGTATCTGGTCGTATGGAATTGTAATGGTGATCGAGACAAGCTGGACTGCTCGAGAGACGATGTTTTTCCAGTTCCCGGCCCCGGCTATAGTAGCCCCATCCACATCCTCGACTTTCAAGTTGATCCCTTCGCCAACAAGAGGCCCCTCGAGAGAAGGATTGCTGTGGACAATTCGCGATTCCAGCTGGAAATAGGATCTGAAATCACCTATGGGATATATGAGGCTGCTCCCGTCGCGATTGGTGATGTGAACCTTGGTCAGAGTGTTCTTTGTGATGCTCTGCCTGCCAAGAAGCCTAATATCTTCTTCAACAATGCCGATCGAATTTTTCATCGCTGTAGGCAGAATTTCGTGTCCGTATGTCACAATAGCAGTAGATCCAATGTTGATGATCCACAGGCTGGGGACATGAACGATGTTATTCATCGGATCATTGCCAAACCTCCTGTATGATTGTTCCTCATCTCTTTCACGAACAGATTCATACGGATACAAAGCCTGCATCAAGGTACGTGGAGAGAACAGTGAATCTTCTTGCCCAGTAGTAGGCTTTACAACCTGTTGGAGACTGAAGTAAGGTACGCAGCTGAAAATCACGGACTGGGTGTCTGTTGGATCGGATTCGTCGGCTCGAAGAACGGTCCCTGGCTCGATGAATCTACCGCCTACAAATGGCCTAGTCTTTTCGCCTCGCAGTTTCAACAAGACCTCGCGGGTAAGGGCCTGGAGGCGGTCAGACAAACGTGGGATATTGAGGCAGACGTTTTCGAAGCGGTCAAAGTCGAGATGACTACCATTGAGGTGGTACCATGTTGTTGCTATGCTTGTCCGCAATCGAGGGCTCGCCAGACTTGGTAGAGTGTGGATTTGAAGCATGTTCTGGGCGCCAGATTCGATCGGCATTGCTCTGGTGATTCTCCGTATCTCCAGATTCTTGTCTCCCGGTTCCTTCTTCTCTGCTCCGAGGCCCTCCTTGTTTTCGGGTTTATCAGATTCTTCACTTAAGGCGATGCTGCTGCTCGAAGGCTTGGTCTGCACCTGAAATGAGAGCCTGTTGCCCTCGATGTCCACTGGATGCATCGCATAGCGGTTGGGCTGTAAAAGAGGGGACTCTCTCGGAGGCGTCTCCTCTTCGCTGCTCAATGACCATGACTCGCTCTCACTAGAGTCTTCGGTGATAATACTGCTTTCTGATTCTTCGGGAGTTGAGACCCGGCGCGGGAGCTCAAATCTGAGCGCCGGTTCGTTTCTAGAACTATTCGTCCCAGGCTCCACACGTGAAGTGTTTCGTGGCTGGGGTCGTGACGGTCGCCGGTAATTCCTCCCTGAACGACCATCGTTGCGCGTGGTAGAGGGTTGCTGATGCCCCGCGCTGGTCGATTGAAGCTCTTGAGCAAAATCGATGGGCTCCTCGGTGAAGTAGTCGGCTATCCATTGGGAGTTTTCTGCGTCAGGAGCCTCGCTCAACGATACGTGTCGGGGCTGGTTTCCGCCCCCATACAAATCATCATGCGCAAGCTCATCAACGGAAGCTTCGCGCACCTCAGCCTGATACTGACGTGGGAGACGCGGCGTGGCTTCCGAATCTTGCGTTTGGCCCTCCATAGATAGGTAATCTGGAAGTTGGCGGGCGGGATTGCGACGGCATGGGAGAGGCGACGAGAAGAAGGCAAGGCAGACATGATGTGTGGGGGCCAAAAGCTGAGCTGAAGGAAGAGTGAGAGTCAGACGCTAATATGTGCATGCAGTTGCAGATGAAGACCTCAGCCTCTCCGGGGTTCAGCTCGACTCCAGCCTAGCGTCAGATTTGGACAGCTATCGTGCCATCCTGATTGGTCGTAAGAGGGGCAAGCGCGCCGTCCCGCCATGCCTCGAACATGTGTTCTCCATCAGTCTGATCGTAAAGTCAAGAGCCAAAAGTTGTGGCAGTTGTCCTATCACACGGAAAATCGCGAAGTCATCAAACATAGTTATGAGATTTGAATTCAAGCCCAGGTCAAGGGTGACAAGCATATTACAAAAGCTACTACTGTTGACGACAACATGAGACAAGTCTGGACAAAGGAAACAATCTGCGAAGGAACATGCTGCAATATCCAATATCGTCGAGCAAAAGTATCCAACTGGTATCAAAGGGCCCCGTCAATGGGCGGCGGTAAGGCTAAGTCGTAAATCGTGATGGTATCGTAAGGAGATAGAGTTAGAGAATGTTTGCGCGATTAGTGGTGGCGGTGGAAGGTCGGTTGGTGAGGGTATACGTGTGCCAGCGTATGTACAATTGTTGTCAGAGTAAATGTCGGGTATGTTGAGCGGTGGTCATCTAATTGTGAGAGGCTGCTGAGCTGGCGCGATGGGTGACGGCAAGAACGATTGGGGTTGCTGCTGCGTGTTGATGGCGGTGGGGGTCGCCTGCTGTATGCGTGTCTGTGGTAACTCCTTCTTCTTGACCAGCAAGCTCTTGAACGCGCCGAGCCATTTGGCCAGCGAGTCTTCATTGGAAGCGCAGAATTTGTAGTTCTTCTCCTCAGATATGACCTGCATGCAGTACTGCTTGCTTCGCGAGACTGGGTCTATGTCGACAGCATCGATGATGCTGGAAAAGGGAATGATATGGGTCGCGGAGTATTCGTCGTCGTTTTTGTAAAAGGCAAGGCACCTTGGCCGCAGAACCACCCAGATCTTCTTCCACTGGCGCACGCCGCCTTTGGACTTGAGGACATATAGCCAGCCGTGGTAGACTACGCGCTCGTTGGTGGGGGTGGCGCCGATGTTGCTCTGCTGGCTCGCATTGCGCTGTGTCTGCGGCGTGCGCGGGAGAGACTGGGCGGAGGCTTGGTTGGTGTCGGAGAAGTCGAAGTCGGAGATGGAGCCGCGCTCGCCGCCGGAGTAGTTGAGGGCTTGCGATGGACGCCGGGCGCTGTGCATGTGCTCCGGGGCGATGGAGGTCGAGGGCCTCGGCTCTGTCTCGGAGGAGCTGGAGACGATGTTTTCTCTGGCCGCGCGACCGAAGCCTGAAAACGTCTTCCTCCCGGTGGTCGGGCTCATGACAGTCATCTCGGCCTCGTGCTCGCCGATGCGCGCCTCGGTGCGTATGAGGTGCACCCACTCCTGGGCGTCCTTGTCGGTGGTTGCGCCGAGGTGGTAGTTGCGGGCGGGCGAGAAGATGCCAAAGACATGCTCCATCTTCTTCTTCGAGTCCCGCTGGCGCGCGACGGCCGTGATCTCGGAGAGGTTGATCTGGTGGCGCAGCTTCGTCTCGTCCTTGTCCTTGTAGATGGAGAGGCAGTTGGGGCGCAGGACGAGGTAGACGGGCTTCCATTGCTGTGCACGTGTTAGTAGACGTCATGGCGTGCCTGTCGGCAGCGTGCGTGCATGCGTGCCTTTGTCTTGCGCGTGCGCTTCACGACGGTGCCGGCCTTGATGATGCGGTCGAACTCGAAGCAGCCGTTCTGGTTGACGGGCGACATGATGTCGACGCTGGCATTCGCAATCTTGAGGCTCTGTATATGGGGCGGGTCCAGCTTCATGCCAGCAGAGCGGATGGCCACGGGTTTGGCGGGCGTGTGCTGGCCGTCCAGTGTCGCTGCCATGTCGGCGGTGGGAGTCACATTCACGGACAGGCAGGCGGGGTCGATAGTGGTACGTATGGGTGAAGGCAGGCAGGCGGGAGGCTATAGGGGCGTTGCGGTGCTCGAGCGCGGTCGTTATATCCAAACTGTTATTCAAGATCGGCAAGGGCGACAGGGGCGATGCATGGGCATGGGGCAGGCACGAACCACACCAGCAACGGCAGGCGCACAGGCTATAAGGACGTGGCCAGCACCAAGGCCCGAGTCGCAGTGGTGAGGTCAAACAAAAGACCGGCGACGATGATCCCACGACTAACACGCACGCGATGCGACGCGACCGCAGGGTGGCCGTTGGGCGTCTGTCGCCGTCAGCAGGGTCTGATGTCAGGGTGCAGCTTGCCCATGAGCCATAGTGACGCGGCGGGGTGGTAGCGCCTCTGTTTCATCCAAATCTTCAACGCCCATTGATCCCAAACCACACAACGAATCTGTAACCTCAACCACTGCTGCATCCCCTCCACCCCTCCAATTTGCCCTTTCTGGCCTGCGCGCCTCTGATCTGCAGCGAGACGGCCCTCCCCGCGCCCGACTGGGTCACATCGACACGCGAAACACGACAACCGCCTCAGCAGTTTTAGCTCCGAGTCTCGACCACGCTCGCCCAGGATGCCCGTCGTTCCGAGCGACAAG